CCATTGGAGGTCTATATATAACATTACCACCCATGTGAATTTGAAAAAAATTAGAAACTTCACGAGTCTTGCTACTTGTACATCGAGGTTGACAGTCTCTCATAATAGGGAGGCCCACGCCCCAAATTTCACATTATATCTAATCCTTGAAGTATGTAGTAGTGTTTTTGTCATCGGACAGATACATCTAGTACTATCAAGAAAATCGAGAACCGACCCAAAAATCGATCTAGTTATAGTTTACAAACTATATAAATTTTTGTTAAGAAAAAAATTCAATATCAACATTTATTGATGTAATTTTGATATCTTTGGTAAGTCATCTCAACTCTTAACAATTTTTTTCCTGATTTGTCTACTCAATAATATTAAAGAAAGAATAGATAACTAAAATTTTATTCGTCGTATTGTTTACAATATTATTTAGTATTTCATAGCAAAGAATATGGTATGTTCTTATGAGCATATCTGGTACTTGATCGATCTTCGGTCTTAAGCATGGGTCGAATCATGATAAAGAAGGTTCGATCGTCGTATAATTTCCTTATAATGCTCCCATAGTCATTTTGTTGCAACTGCTATTTTTGCCAAGAACTATTAAATTTTTTTGGCCTTCGATTGCTTCACTCTTAACCTTTTCGGCCAATTCCGAGCCAAGTTCCAAATTACCAATATTTTTTAATGACTTGTTAGGACATAATGTAAATTAAAAATGACTTTAAATCTAGTCTGCATCGACAAAATGTGTCAAATTAAAATTTTGGCTATGGAAAATGAAAGGTGTGTTGATTAGATATTAAAAATGAATAAAAGTTTCTTGTTTCTTTAAGCAATTTACCCCGACTATGAATAGTAATTGTTGTTTACTTAATTATTTGTACAAATTAGTTTACTAAGATTGTTAATCAAGAAAAGGAAACGTAGCCATTTTTTGGTAATCGGTCGCCATCTAATTTTAATATTCTAAATCCTAATATTAAATTTAATTTAATTTTTAAGTCTTTATATTAAATTAATGTAAACTCCGTACAAGTAGCAAAATAACACCAACTTCCTATAGTATCTAAGTAGGAGTGTCAATTTGGCTTACCGACTCGGACTACCCGTTGTTCAGCTCGGGAAAAGCCCGAGTCTACATGGCTCGTAGCTCTAGCCTAGCCCCATTTTGGAACATCTGGCCGACTTGTGTCATGAGCCATTTTCGAGCCCATTAAAAATTAAAAGCTGCCCCCCGGGGCACATCCAAGTTGGCAAAGGATGGGCACTGCTGGGCTTGCAACCTCAGGGTGGGGAGTTCGATTCCTGGATGGAGCAGCTGAGTGTTGTAATACTCAATTTGGGTGGAGCAGTTTGGNTGGGGGCACAGACCCTGGTCAATTTGGGCATATCCCGCGTTTAACCTCCACCTATCACTGAGGGGCCGGGCTTGGGTGGTCCAGGATATAGTCTAGTGTAAGTTAGGATACCTGGATATCAAAAAAAAAAAAAAATTAAAAGCTAGTGCAGGAAGCAGTAAGTGCTCGTGTTTCACACGCTGCCTTTGTAGGCACCAATAGTTGCTTGCCTGTAGGCAACTATTTAGCTGACCGTGTAAAAAAATTAAAAGCTAGTGCAGGCAGCAATAGTTGGCAACTACACGCTGCGACAATGGTAGCAACCTATACACGTTGCCTTTGTAGACAGTTAAGACAGTGTATAGCTACTTAGTTGCCTGTGTTTTTTTTTTTTCTAAAAAAGAAAGGTAAGTCAACCCAACTTGATAAAGCTCGAGCCGAAAGCTCGGGTTGAGCCTAGATTTTTTTGGCTCAGACTAAATAAAGTCCGGATCATTTTTCCTCAAGCAAAGCCGGAGCCCAAGCCTCGAGTTTAGGCTTGCGAACTGGCTTGACTCGTTGACATCCCTATATATAAGTATTAAACGATAAGTTTGGGATGCACGATTGTGATTATGAAAATAATCGTTGAACGAATAAATATTAATAAATTTTTATTTCTCTATTTATTCGTAAGAATAAAGGAAGACGATTTGCTTATTTAATTAAATTATCGATCAAGAGCACTAAACAATTATAGGGTAAAAGGAAGACGATTTGCTTATTTAAGTAAATTATCGATCGAGAGCACTAAACAATTATAGGGTACAGTCATGTCAAGATAACCCAAATCTTGGTATAAGAAAACAAATAAAAAATAGATTCAAATGCAATAATTGCATAATTAAAAGAAACTAAATTCCATCTTGATAAATTAATAAATAGTGTTTACCTTCGTTAGTGTCCCAACTAACAAAATCAGCTTGGACTTACCTTAATTTTAAAAGGAGAACTTATGAAGATTGAACATTTACTTTAAAGAGGACTGATTAAAGAGATCATCACGTCAACTCGTCCAATGAGCTCAACCCATGATACCTAGACAAATCAGTTGACTCATGACATGTCAGCCCAGTCCACGCCCGCTGTAATCTAGAAATGTCATCATTGCAATTCTAAATACACTTCTCCTGAGCGATGTCATCACCATTCGAACGATCACTCTCAAAATGACAAGTGACACTCATGACGTTAGCACCTCATTTTCAGCCAATTTGAAATCAGCAATTATTACATATGTGACAAATAATCATGATCTATGCCACAGCTACAACTTAGGCACCATGAGGACCGGTTCGGTGGACCTCAACAACCAATCAACATCATTAACTCTAGACAATGACACAACTTTCTAAGTCACCACTGTAGTTGATATGACGTCGAACGGCCAAGTTGCTTGATTTAGAATTAGAGGCCTATAAATAAGGGCAAATGGTTCTCTAGTACACTCCAAACTTCAATCAATGAAACTATCCTTTAATTTTCCTAAATTCAAGCAATTTCAATCACTCTACTAAATTTCTATTAAGTTGATCTAAAGCAATTTCAATCACTCTACAACCTTACAACCAAAAATCTTGAGTTCACAAGGATTATGCTTTGAGTTTTGCTCAGTAGCGGATCATACACTAATTCCATTAATCAAGAACTAAACGGTTTATCAAGACTTCCATAAAATAAAAGGAAGAGTTCAAGGGGGGAAAAATGTTATCGATTTTTTACTTTTGGAAAGAAATAGGGTTCCGAAAAAAAATAATGTTACGTTTTTAGCACTTCTACTGTACAGTCTACTTCATGCTGAGAGCTTTAAATAATATTTGGCGCATAAAGAAATCAACCTCATTACCTTTTAAATATTAAATCCAATTATTACTGAATTTGTTATAACTTATAAAATAGAATAATGATGAATGTATACCGTTGTGTGTAATTCAGTTTGACACTCCCCTCATATGGAGGTGGGGCCCGCGATTTTTAAAATTGTGGGCCCCATCACTTATGTGAGGGGGGCTATCACCGATTCCCTATAAAATATGCTAAGACCAACATAGGAAATGTTGTCTCCGAGGCCTGTTGTCGGGCCATGGTCACTAGTTGTCAAAATTTATTTGTCAAACTTCTATTAACATATGCCAATAAATTACACCACCAATAAATAAGTTCGATTCAAAGAAAATTAAATCGATCGCATGAATTTTTTTTGTGTTTATCATTTGATTCATTGCTAGATGGTTGAGGTCATTTATAATTTGATCATTTGGGAGTCATTGATCATTTATATCAAACTTCTATTAACATATACCAATAAATTGGGAGTGATTTTTCCAAGTGAAAAATAATTTTTTGAAAGAAGTGCGAATAAAAAGTGAAAAAAAAAAAAAATTCTCCCAAATAAATCCTTAATTCTAATTGAATAATTCAATTTCGACATTCATTTTCTTGCTTGAGCTCAAACTCAATAAGATTTGTGAGTTAATTGATTTGAAGAGGTGAATCATATTGAAACTAACTTTCGAGCATTTTGCACATTGATTCATATTTTTACTTATTTTTTAACCGCACACTCTCCAAAAATACTACTTTTCACAAAAAAAATTCTACCAAACGTGAACTTAATATTTTATATTGGTTTTACTTTCTACGTTGCAGTAACTGTATAAAAAATTAGAAGATGAAATAAAAATAAAAGTAATAAGAAAGAAAAGTATATGAGTTTTGGCGCTATTTACATCAAAACGACCTCAAACTTCTTCATCATTCCTAGATAAAGATTGACGAATTTCTTTTTAACAGCTTACACCTAAAAAAAAACATGCATTTAACTTAGTCGAAAGAGTTTTTAGAAGCAACATCGAACCATTTAGTAGAGGAGTTTCTCTATCATTCCCACTCTACTTGCTTTCTACACCTTTCCTTTGAGTAATACACATTAAATTGAATAAAAATCCAAATCTAGTTATTTAAGTGATACAAATTAAAGTCGGGTGACCAAAATAAAATAAACCTATAAATTGAGTAACCTAAGTAAAAATTCTCCAATTTATTTTAATCTAGGATTGTAAAGAATTTTGCTACTTGTACATAAAAAAAAATGTATATAATGAATTACATAATATGATGTGGATGAAAAAGATTGGATGAAAAAGTTGATTGTGTGTTGAAATTGACAAATGATAGAATGTCGTGTAATATTATGTGAATCTTGATGTACATGTAGTAAGATCTATTCTAAGCCCCCGTTTTGCCCCCATTAAATTTATAATACATTTTTTCTCTCTTTTTTTAATTACTCATTCTCCAATAAAATAATATTACACATAAATCAAATTTTTTTCATCATTTTTCAACCATGTTCTCCAAAAAATACTATTTCAAAAATTATAATATCAAATAATGGGGGCCAAATGGGGGCTAAAATATCCACTGTCGTATGCGTAGGGGTGGGCGCGGGTCGATTCGGTTCGGTTCGGTTCGATTTTTTTCGGTTTCACAAATTTTCGATTTTTTAGTAAATGGAACAGTCGGCTCCAAATATAATTTTGGAACCGTTTAGGTTCAGTTCGATTCCGTACTATAATTAAATTTTTTAATATTTAAAATAATACTATATAAATACACTTTAAAGTATATACTAATATTAATAACAAAAAATACATACAAATATCT